GCCACCGACGCCCTCAGGTGCCGTATGTTCTCCCTAACTTTGGGACCAAGAGCGCAGAAATGGTACTACTCGCTGCCTGCGCAGTCTATCAGGCGCTGGGTCCAACTCAGATCGGCCTTTCGTTCCCATTTCATCGGGGCGCAGGTTTGCCTGATCCCAAAAGAGTCGATCACGAACATTGTCCAGAGGGACGACGAGAGCTTGAAGGAATATGTTGCCCGCTTCAACGAGCGTGTGCAGAACATGGAACCGTGCCACCCTGAAACCCTTCTAGTGAGCGCCATCTCGGGGTTGAAACCGAAGTCAATGTTCAGGTGGGCACTTTGCCAAAACAAGCCCAGCACGTTCCAGGAATTCTTAGTTCGGGCACAGAACCACGTGATCGCCGAAGAAAGCATGTCGGTCCCGGACTTCACGTTCGCATCCCCGGGATAAAAACCGACGTCAGAGAAGAAGAAGAAATCTTTCAACACGCCAAAGAAGAACTCCTCCGCAGACACGAGGTGGGGAGACCCGAATGACCCAGAGGTGCGGGCAGCTCGGAAGCAGTACCGAGAAGACCTGAAAGAAGGATACCGATCTATCTACTCGGTCGGAGCGGCTGCCATTTACGAGGAAATAAAGGGAAAGGGAATCATTCCCGATGCGCGGCCAGTCAAAACTCCGGAGAGCCAACTCGACAAAGGCCGCTACTGCGACTACCACAGGTCACCGGGCCACAACACCGACGAATGCTTGAGCCTGTTGTCGGCTCTGATGAAGCTTATTGGTAATCCACAGGTGAGGAAATTCACCAAGGCCGGTGATAACAAGGGGAAGCGGAAGACGCATGAAATCCCTGATGAAGATGAAGAAGATGAAGGAGGACCGAATTTCAAGAGGCTTCGGGTCCAGGGAGACAAGGAAATTTTTGTGGTAAAGCCAGCAGACGTCGGTTCGCCCCAAGACCGACCTTGAAAGAGGGGCCGAGAAGCTGACATCTAGCCGCGGCCCGGCCAGACATCTCCAACCTCGGAACGATCGAGTCCCATTGCCCGAGTTAACACCAACCGAGACGCACCGACGTCTTCCCGCAGACAGGACAAGGCATACGCGCGAAGGGCCTACAACTCGGGAAAGCAAGTGATGACTTTGGACCTTAGAGAAACGATCAATGCCCGTACTTGCCCGATCACCTTCACGTTGGAGGACGCGAGTTTATTCGATCATCCTCACTCAGATGCGTTAATAATCACAGCCCCCATCTGTGGCATTCCTGTCCACCGGATCATGGTGGACACCGGGGCCTACACGAGCATCCTCATGCTCAAGGCGTTCAACAAGCTCGGGATAGACCCCGCCGAGGTCCGTCCTTGCAATGACCGCGTCCACGGCTTCAACGGGAGCGTGGCGCTCCCATTGGGGGAAATCACACTCCCCATCAGGTTTGGAGGGAATGGGCAGACATCCATAGTCATCATGGAAACTTTCAAGCTGATGGACCTTGACAACGAATATAATGCGATCATTGGGAGGACGGCATTGTACAAACTCTGAGCTGCCGTTTCAATATTTCATTACGCGATAAAATTCCCGACGGCAGACGGAGAA